TATCTCACACTGCAAACATTTTAAACCACTGTACGGGGCTCTGTTCCTTAAAACTTATGTTTGTTATCCTAAATATGGGAATTTGAGTTCTAAGCCTAAAGATTTTTAACGGGGAGCTAAAAAATTTGAGTAGTAATGTACATTGAGTAATCGATACTAGTAGCTGTTTACAAATGAGAGATGAGAGAAAGTGGTGGTGGGGAAGCAGTAAGAAGAAGAAGAAGGAGAAGGAGAAGGAGAAGGAGAAGGAGAAGAAGAAGAAGAAGACGAAGAAGAAGAAGAAGAAGAAGACGAAGAAGAAGAAGAAGAAGAAAAGCCAGCCTTAACCATTATTACACTACAGACCGAAGTACAGACGAACAAAAGCACAGAAAAAAAGACGAGGTGTGCAAATCTGCTCTTCCCGGTGTGTCCCGGAGGTCTGCGCTCTTCGATAAAGACGCACTGTGTGCGTATTTTATTTCAGTGGACAAACCCTTCGTGAAAGAGAAAGACAATCGTTTGAAAGTTGTTATCTCCCCATACATCTACCCCCCCCCTCATCTCTCTCTCTCTCTCTCTCTCTCTCTCTCTCTCTCTCTCTCTCTCTCTCTTTCTCTCTATCTATTGCTCTCTCTCTCTATTTCTCTCTCTATCTTTCTCTCTCTTTCTCTCTCTGTCTCTCTCTCAATATCTTTCTCTCTAGCTCTCTCTCTTTCTCTCCCCCCTCTCTCTTTCTATCTCTCTCTTTCTCTCTCTCTCTCTCTCTCTCTCTTTCTCTCTCTCTCTGTATTTTATAATTTAACTCGCTTGGTCTTTTACGTTCAGTCACGGCTTCCTCCGCCTTTCTTCGGTAGATTGCACACCACCCCTCGTTTGTGCTCAGAAATTAGGAAAAACATAAACATTTGCCAAGCGGAAGCCGCGTTGTCGAAAGCGAAACTGCATACAGTTGCGAACGTGTTGTCTGTGCCTTGTTGATCTGAATTCAGAACCTAAGGTAATGATCAGATGGCTGTGGTGGTTTATTGTAGCTGAAAGCTGTGCAGTGTAGGCTAGTATAGATCTAGATCTAGATTTAGACTCTAGATGTTGTATCATGTAGATCTAGAACCAAGGGAGAGAGACCAGATCTAGACCTAGAATCCAGACCTAGGCCTAGGCTTGCCCCTCCTTCTTACTTCTTCTTAGTCCCTAACTTATTATAACTAACTAATGTCCACTGGAACTGCATAGGCTAGTATAGATCTAGATCTAGATCTAGATTCTAGATATAGATGTTGTATCAGTCGTGTAGAACCAAACAAGACTCACAGCTAGGCTTGCTTCTCCTTCTTAGTACTTCTTAGCTCTTAGTCCCTAACTTAGTATAGATCTAGATGTAGTCTGTAGACTGTAGTGATTCTAACTTATGACCACTGGCACTGCATGCAGTGTACAGGGGTAGGACTGGCCTTTGTAGAGCTAAATCTAGGGTTTTGTGTATAATGGGAATAGCACACAGTGAGCCTAACCTTAATACCTAATACTAATACTAATACTAGATCTAGATCTAGATCTAGATCTAGATCTAGATCTAGAAGATTCTAATACTAATTTATAACTAATATTTAATCGAAGTGGCTAGCCGTACTTAAGTACGGCTAGACTGAGAGTCTAGCCGTACTTAGATCTAGGTTTGGCCCTATCGACTCAAGCCTGTTAAGTACACAGGTCTCATTAGATCTAGATCTAGATCTAGAAGATTCTAATACTAATTTATAACTAATATTTAATCGAAGTGGCTAGCCGTACTTAAGTACGGCTAGACTGAGAGTCTAGCCGTACTTAGATCTAGGTTTGGCCCTATCGACTCAAGCCTGTTAAGTACACAGGTCTCATTAGATCTAGATCTAGATCTAGATCTAGATCTAGTAATTATTCAGGTTCAAATGCATGCAAGTCAGAAAGGCACCTTTTTGTTTTGTCTGAAATACAAATACTTTAGGCATTGCAAACTAAAAATTTCTTTTACAATTCAGCCATCAATATTAAGTACGGCTAGCCTGACAGTCTAGCCGTCCTTAAGTACGGCTAGCCTGGCTAAGTACGACTAGACTGCCAGTCTAGCCGTACTTATCTTAGGCCCTATTAATATTAGAAAACAGGAGGTTTAAAATACAAATACATACACTGTCATTAAGGCACCTGGTTTCGTCTCAAATGCAAATACTTTAGGTAGGTACTGCACACTAAAAATGTATATTTACAATTCAGTAGGCCTATTTTTTTGTTAAATGGTCAGTCTAGCCATCATATTAAGAATAAGTACGGCTAGACTGCGAGTCTAGCCGTACTTCTGCCAGTCTAGCCGTCATTAAGTACGGCTAGCCTCTTCCATATTTAATAGGCCACCTCTATTCTCACCCGGAGTGAGAATAGTGCAGGCGAGTCTTGTGGCTATTCTCACCCGGCAAAACCACATATTTCTACACTGTGATAACAGAAAAATTGTAGAATTCTGTGCCGTGAACAAACGTTCCATTACAATTGTAGCCTACTAAAAGCGTACAATTTTGTCTGTGGGCAGTGGAGAGAGAGAGAAAGAGAGAGAGGAGTAGCGCGAGAATTTCAGGGCAAAACAAAATGGCGACCCGCGTAGTTCGGCTCGATTCGAAAAGTTAAATAGCCGTAGCATCTTTGTAGACAACCAAATTTATTTACTTTTGTGTTTTAACATCATTTTTTAACTTTGTTTTGGTCAATTTGATCGTCCACACCGATAGACAGTATTCAGAAAGAGACGGAGAGAGAGAGAAGAGGGGAGGAGTTGATCTTGCGAGAACTTCCGGGCGGGTGAGAATAGCCACTTTCTATTTAATAAAACAAAAGCTTCACTAAGTAATGACTAGATTTAGATCTAGATCTAGATTCTAGATCAAGATCTAATAGCAATGCTAGATCTATCTGAGCTGGGCACTTTGTAGAGCTAGATCTAGGGCTGTTTAGAAAAGTGTTTGATTGGAAATATCACTCGGTGAGCCAAAGGCTTAGTCAACCGAGTGAGAATCCTATTATTATATTATTACCGACTAATGGCATTCACTAACAAATGAGTTATCAAACTTCAAACAAACTTAGATTTAGCTCTACAAAGGCCAGTAATGGCAATGCTTAATGCTAGGACTTGGCTTTGTACAGCTAGATCTAGGGTTGTTTAGTGGTTGATTGGAAATGTCGCACGGTGAGCCGAACGGTTTTAACTAATTAAAAGATGGGGGCTCGGATGGCTAAGTAAGTGAGTGGGTCCAGATCTAGTGAGTTTAGACTCAACAGTAATGTTAAGCAAATGTCGGTGTTTGACACCGTTAACCAAACTGCCCCTCTGGGATCAATAAAATTGTAATTTATAAATGTATCTCTTTAATGGTTCACTTTGAAGTCAGTATTCCATGAGTAAGAAACGTGAGTGATTCTTGAATTAAAAAGTGGAGACCTCGAACCGTCATTTCAGTTTGGGAAATTTTCTGCGCTCGTCCGACGCAAAAACATAGGCCTAGATTTTTTGGCGAATAACTTTCGATCCCGTTTACTTTTAGCCTCGTTTCTCTAAACGGCATTCTTCGAGAGGACTGGTCCCGGCTTAACTCCAAAGAAATAACACTAAGAGTTTGTAGTCGGAAACAAAAACGGAAGTAGGGTAAAAAAGCTGTCTTCGGTATTTTTTTGTCGTTCGAATTTAGAATATTTTCATCCTGATTTTTTTCTTCATCGGGTGGCATTGTGACCCTGGCAACTCAAGCCAGCTTTTTTAATCGGCTTCCGTTTGGTTTCCGATTGCGAGTGTTATTTCTATGGAATAAGGCCGGGACCCCTAATTCTCCCAAAGAGTGCCCTCTAAACGCGTGACAACCCCGTTTTGTCTTTTCGAGCAATACTTCTTTCAACGTTACAGATTGGTGTGGAAGGGCACTTTTCTTGAGAGGCCAGAATAAAATATTGCTCGATATGAGTCAGGCGGAACTATTTTCTTACGTATATTGATGTAAATGGAACAAGACCGGGAACGGTAGCTCGATAACAATGGATGTCATCTGTCCCAAGTCATCCGTTAAAAAAAGCGTGTCTTTTCGTTGGACGGGCTACAGCACGGGCGAAAATAGTTTTGGTGCGGACGGACATCCCCGCACGGAACCTCAATTTTTAAACTGACTGCGTCACTGTCGTTCTGTAGGTATTAATTTTAAATAACGTTTCCAAGCCCTCTGACCTCGTAACCGCAACAATTTTGGTCAGGTCCGTTTTCCCCCTTCTGTTTCCCCAGATCTCGGAATCTTCGCGGAGGCAGTATCATGTCTGGAGAGGAACAGCCCCAGCCGTTTGCCAGCGACGAGGAGATGGTGAGTTGTCACGCATCCACAAACCCACACACACAAACACACACACACAAACACACACACACACACACACACACACACACACACACGCACCCCACACACACACAATCACATACCCCTACCCCACACACACACACAATCACATACCCACCCCCCACACACACACAATCACACACACACACACACACACACACCCACACCCAGACA